TATATATATAATAGAAATATCACACATACACGCGCGATAAAAAAAATTTATCGATATCTTTTGGTTTTTAAGCTTATAATGCCTCTTACTATGCCATAATTAGATAGTCGTAATTAGAAGCGAGCTACTGCTCTGAATTACTTTCATCATAATTTTTGCACAATCAAGCGCATCTATAAAAATTTCCATATTAGTTCGATTCAAAAGAAGGTACGAGAATCTTTCGTTTTGTCGCGCGGAGTTCATAATTGATTGCGAGTGAGAAACTTTCTACATTTCTATTTTTAGGAAAAAAAATTTAAGCAATCGAGGTAAAACTTTTGTATAGACATAAAAAACAAATAAATTCGACAGAGGAACGCCGTGGTTATTTCTTCATGCATCATAATATTGATTTAATTTTCAAAAACAGAATAATGCACTTTGCGAGAAAAATCAGTATATTATATTTAACTTTTTCTAAAACTATCGCGTTGTATCTATGATTTCTTCTTCCGGAATTTTCTTCTTTTTATCATAAACCAGCAGCGGTCAAAAAGACAAAAGTTATTAAGATAATCAATAACATTTCTTATTATGGTAACATCGTAGATGTTGTACATGCATGAATATCGGCTTATAGATTTTCTATGTATCACAGGAATATTCGTGTTTTCGCAATAGAAATATATATCAACTCAGCTACCGACTTGCTATTTATAGCATGGATTAAACACGACACACTGTAAATCCGCTGCTGCGTTCAAGAGAATTCGTATATTTCTTTCTCTATTACGAAATTTTCTTCAACATATGTAAGTGTGCTACATTTCACGCGACCTTATTTAAACAATATATAATTTAGATCTTATCAAATTTTCATGTCAGTAATTTTATATCAGTTCTTATTGTTAGTAAATGTATATATCATTATTTTTATTAAATTAGTATATATTTAATATTAAATTATCATAACATATTACACGTATGTATTTAATATAAACAGTGATTATAATTACATGACTGCTGATTACAATCAATATCCAGATCATAAAAATTAGATTAAATTATTTCTTTAAATAAAGAACATATTGAATAATAAAAAATGCTACAAGAATTATGTAAATAATTAAATTAAACATTTGAATGTACTACGAAATAGTCGCAAGGTTGTGCATTTGCGTATATTCTCTATGTTATAGCATGTAATATTCAACTGTTTGAAGCAGTATGGCTTCTGGGTGTTACAAGTCTTCTTGAACTATGTATCTTTATGTACATAAAAAGACTTACCTGTGGCGTGAATTTTAAAAAAGCTTTTTAATAAGGATTATAGAACAAAAGGTTAATAATAAATTACACATACATGTGTAATACCATGAATATTTACAATATACGAGTTTGTTAACAAATGAACGATTTAGCATATTATCTAGGATCTAGGATAATATTTATGTATTATATGATTAATTGAAATAAAAAGCCACCAATTCAAATATCCTGTATTTGCCGGTATTTATCGAAGCTCAAATTTATTATGTCAGCAATGACGATGAGTCATCATACTTGTATTTACCTCCCGCATGATTATTCCCATAACCCTGAATTAAAAGAATTAACGGCAAAAACGTAGTTAACTGAGACCTTCGTCAGGATATCGCGTTTCTAACATAACGAGACTCTCGATGTTCGAGAATGTCCGAAGGGTATTTTTGATCGCATTTGTTTTGCATTGGAAATACAAATCAAAGTTTTGTGAAAGATTACAGAAATTTTTCATATTATTTTTTTTTTCTAACTAATTGTATCTTAAGAAATTCTGGTTGGACTTACATTTTGTAAGACTTAAGCCTGATTTGTTTTATTACAACAATAATTAAATGCATCTAAACTGATAATTTGACATTTCTTTTCATCCGCTCTCTTCGAAATTACAATTATCGATATCAATTCCAAATATTCGACAGTTTTAGAATTACTATATTTTACCGGATATATGATCAAACTCTATTTTTTCTCTCTCTTCTTCTTTCGATTTAAAATCGACAAGAGTCGGATTGGCCTCGATTTGCATTTTATATCCGCACATTCGTAACAGTACATGCGATATGACTCGGTACATCACAAAGTGTTAAATTCGTCCATTGAAAGCTCAACTTTCCATTCACAACAAAGCGGATTGCATGTAAAGTCGGACAATGGGGTTTGTCGGCGCGCGCTACCTCAACAATAACACAACGGTAACGGAATGAATTATTAATTCCGAATAATAATGAACGGGCAGGGGTACGCGCTTTACAACGTGTGCGTAAAATCATCGCCATATCTCCCGACTGCGTGACTGAAATTCCTCGGATAATTGCGAGGTGAGACGACGACTAATTTCTGGTGTTAGCTTCCGGTAAGCGATGAGTTTGACGTGGCGAACAGCTGATGTATCGAGGAATCGCGACGCGTGAGATGACAGCGCAAAATGATCGCGTTATCTGATCGAATTCAAAGCTGCATAACTCGCGGATAAAAAATTCGCGGGCGTTTTGTGGCCTACGCAATTTTCGTTACATTCATTTCCGAGGTCATTCGTTCAGGTAAAGTAATGGTAAAAGAGCCTAGTAGAGTGCGATCGCTCGAACGCGGAAATGTGCCTGACCACACACTGTGTTATCTACTTATATACTTATATGGATCGTCGGTTTGCTTCAGGAAGAAAAATCCTCGAGTCGTAATTTACGGATAATGAAACCTTGTTATACATATTGTTACGGATGATCGCGTAAATATTGCGTAACTTGAAATTTATTTTTCACGTTACGATAATAAATACATAATAGAATAAAAAAATTGACTTGATTGGTACAAACATCAGTACGAGAAATCTATTATTAATTATCGACCGTATAATTAAATATAATTGACTAGTCACTGGTATTTTCCTAAATGGCGTTGTTCCGGGTTTAGTATAAAAGAAAATGAAAATTTAACTGTTTAAATTTAATTAACGCTGCAGGCAATTTCCAGCGTCAGTTGCACCGACAGCTTCTATTTACTCTTGCGCTTAGTGATTCATCGACCTTTCCTAAATTACAACCAACTACGCGAGATATAGATCATGAAAAAATATATTACAAAAATTACAATTAGCATTAACTGATATTGCAACGGTTACAATTTTTCATTACAAAGTCATATTGATTAATCATAAAAATTCTTCGCCGTCAAAAATCAATTACTCAACAATTAAATGTGTTTCAATATCTTCGTTGAAAAAAAATTTAAAACTCGACAGTATGATCTATAATCTATATAATGCGAAAAGACATTTGGTTTCAATCATTCTATGGACAAAATAGAAAGGACAAGAGACTTATAATTAACGATAATGTATACGTTGATTATACCAGTCTTTACTATCTCTCACCACATTGTTTCGCGACACCCTCCGTTACCGGTAATGGCGCAATAATTTTCCCAGCAGGCCTCTTCTTCGGGATTTAACCCCTGGGGTGAGCGCGGTCGACCGGCGTCTCCTCCGGTCGACGCGATTTAATAGAATTTTATCGGGCCGGCCATTGAGTCCACGCGTTCGCGTTAAATCTGCAGCACGACGCGGCGATGTCTCACACCTGGCATCCCGCCAGCGTTACGTAACGCATTAATTCACTGGGCCCGCGAGATTTGCATGCGTTAGTGGAGCCGCACGAGGAGTTAAGTTTCGCGAAAAGATCGGGAAAGAGAGAGAGAGAGCAAGTGAGAAAGCGGACTTTACTGCGCTCGGGTCGTCGACCAGATAAATAGAGACGTTTTCGTAAGAAATACTGGAATTTATATCGATGCGCATGGTTGATTTAATTCTAATATGTTTTGTGCTTCATGACAAACAAAAGTATTCTTATAGTAAAAATATTTTAACAAAAAAAAAAAAAATTGTTAGAAATAAAGATAGTTTTATTTTAGTAAACACTATTTTATAGATATATAAGAAAAGAGAGAAAAGAATGAAGAATTAATATAAATAAAATAGTGAAAATAATGTTGAATTCTATAATTTTACTAATTAATTTAAAACAGTTTATACTAGAATAATAACTGTGTAAATAACGAAAACAGAGTTTTACGAGAAAATCAAGTAACTAATCAGTCTTTAAATATTTAGCAATTATACTTTATAAGTCTTGTAAGCCTCCTCTTCAAACCATCAGGTATCTCGCGATGTGACATAAATCTCTATACTCCATCGTAAAGTTCTGATTGGACGGTTTTATTCGGAAAGATTTCTTGCTAAAGTGCGAGAAGCTCATATCAAGAGTATCTACTTCGACCTGTCGAGACAAGAGAAACCTGGGACTACGGTCATCGATCCAGCTAACGATATCATGTCGCGCAAGTTAATGTGTGTGTGATACTCGATATAAAAGACGCGAAAAAGCTGTAAGAATAGCTGTGCAGTCAAGCTTGAAAAATGTGTCGGCTCTTCGGAGCACCGGAGTAACTAAATAAAACGATAATTTTATGTGAAAATAAATATATACTTTAACTGATAATATACACAATGTGTCGTTTGTATCTGTACATGGTTGTACCTGTCTGCGCTTTTAGAGAGAGGCACATGTATATTGGATATAGTAAATGCTACCCTACTATAACTGATAGTGATTGTAATGTTAATATTGTATGAATAATTATTGCAGAGACAGTTATAGTGAAATATTTGAAATTAGAAGATTTTAACCAACTTGGAAAATTTAAATAAATTTAACTCATATAAAATATGATTTATAAAATGCAATGTAATAAATCGTAGACTATAAAGAAATCACAGAAAATTAATCAAGCTTTAATTGCTAAGATATTCAATTTTTTAAAAATATTAATCTAATATTTTTGGTGAAAGAAAAATAAACTCTCCAAATTCATCAAAGAATCCGTCGTCAATAAAATTCTATAGTGACAGATCGTCTTGTGTAACCTGCGCAGGCGACAAAGGACGATTATCAAACCGCAGTCGCGTAAAACTGCCACAAAGCTAATCGGTCAAAGTTCATCGCTGCTTGGCCGGGTCGTGCACGTGGCATTTATCTCGACTTTCGTGGTGAAAATGACCTTTTCGATCTTCCAGCGTCGCTTCCCGAATCTCCGCCCGGTCTTTCAATCCGTAGTACGATTTCTGCTGGCCGGAAGAGCCATTGAATTTTAGAGCTGCGCGATCATCAAAATGTGAGTAATTGATACAACGATGACCTCTTCATATGTTTCAATTCCTCGGTGTCAATATGAACGTATATAATCGCGCAATCCATTTTATCTCTTTAACTTGGAGAACTTAAATATTAAAAGGATCTCTACATTTTTTATATTAATTTTCCTTCTTTATGAGACTGTAGCCACGCTTTTCGGATTTTGAATAAATCTACTTTTCTATTATCGTATCAAAATTCATATATATTGATTTATCTTTTACATTGTTAAAATCATATACATTCTTTTCTACTTTATTATCAAGTGATTTGAATAGATATAATTTACATGATTGCAAATATCGTAACATATCTTATCCAATAAATAGCTTTATCGATTGATTATGGATTACATGATTTTTGATTCCCAATTGATCACTTTCCTGATATTACATCTTATAATACGTTCTATTATTTCACCAATGTCGTAAAATTGCTTTCAAAGCGAAGACGATTGGTGTAATATCTGACATTTTTAAAAGTTTTAGAATTCCGTATCAACAAACGTTTATGTATCCATATGTGACTTATAAAGTATACAAATTCCACTAGCATCGAATATTACAATGGACGCACTACCGCGGTGATTTTCATATGTATATGACAGAATATCATCAGAGTTAAGTTGTTGAATATTCAAAAATCCGAACATTGTATGTGTGTAAGATAAACAAAAAACATCATATTTTAGAAATCTTAGAATTCTCGTATTTAAAGTTATAGTTTTATATAATTATTCTAAATATTATATAATTAGAAACAAAATTCTTAATAAATATTATTTATATGTCAATCAGTAAGAGATCTGTATTTCATCATTTTTCTCACGTTGCAGAACTTATTCAAACTTTATCAACATTCAAATATCACGTAGACAGCGAAAGACATTGGCGGAATTAATGATCAAAGTTGTTGTGCTTGATTTCGACGTAACTTTGATAACTTCTCAATATTTCCTGTATTCATACATCCAAATAGTATAAATATACAATCTACGCCAAATGCAATTTTCTCTCTACGTACAACAATAAAGTCGCGATCATATAGAATTTATTTTTTCTACGTTTATTTTTCATATAGAATTTATTTTTTAAATAAAAACATCCATCGAAATTATATTGAGATATCAATATTTATTCGCGGAGCGTTATTCATAACTATCCACGACTGTGTGTACTTACCGCTATACCGGGTATTTGGCATATAGGCGTAAACAATCTCGGTCCTGTTGAAAAGCGTCATGAAAATGTGATATTTGCCTTCGGCGTAGGAGCGCGATCCAGTGGTACCTTCTATGGTTCGGGAGCATTTTGTCGAATTCGTGCTTGTTACTGCAGCAAGCAGCAACAGAGCAACGTAGTACATGATCCTAATATTATGCATCTCCTGTAAAAAAAGAAATAGCATATTAATACCATATAAAATTATTACGAATCGATAACAGTTTTAATAATGCTCTAAGGCAAATCTTATATAATATAGATAGTATAGCAGCAATGTAAACCGTAAAATTAAACATTTCTATTTTAAATCACAGTTGATGCTTGCAAACCAATCAACATAATTGGAAGGATATTTTTATTTTACTTTGAGCGCATTTTATGTAATTTGTCGTAGCTTCAAAGTACTGTTTCGTATTTTCGTTTAAGACTGCCAAATATCGAAAAGTTTAGATTGACAAATTATTATTATTTTCTCTGTTGTGTCTATTATGATTATCGACTAGATAATTATTGGCGCATTAAACGCGCAAAAAAATTAAATTACAATTTATATCAAAAAAAAAGAAAAAGTGAAGCGACTAAGAACATTTAAAATTAAAATGCAAATTAATTTCGGGTAGAACAACCGACAATTCCTGATCTCCCTCACGTTTGAAAGTCTATTGCACATCCTCACGTTCTTCGTTTATTTCCCTCTTATGCATTTTAATTAAAATTTAAACAAAGGGAAGAATATTCCGACGTCTCGACGCACAACGTCGACGAATTTAACATTTCTCGCACTTCTGCCAAGATGATTGAGAACGCGCGACAGGTGATTATTTGAAAAATCGTTGTATGATTATGTGATTATTTGAAAAGCCATTGTAAATCCTAAAATTCTAATTAGAGTGATGCCAATATAAGAGACAATTGCCGGCATGGTAATCACGTGCTCGATACAACAAAGCGCCGCTGAAATACACCGAGTGAGTCATTCACCAATTCTGGGGTCTTGGTGCCAAAACGAATGCTTAAAATTATTCACGCTTTTCTCGGTTCATTGAACGATCGTGCATCCAAAATATTCGACATGGTAAAGATGAAACACAGAATGCTTTGACTTTAAAGTAAATACGTAGTTTAAGAAAATGTTTTTTTCAAATAATTTAAAGTTAATTTTTCTCATCATCTCCACTTTAAGATAAAATATTTATATTAAAATGAAAAATTGAGCAATATTATATTAAAATATCAAATAAAAAATAATTAGATTAAATTTTATGCTAATAATGTTACATGTAATAAAATTGTTTTGCAAATCACAATTTATACCAATATTATTCGAAAATAATAATATAGATCGGAAATATTTGTATCTTTCAAAAATATTAATTAAAACGCATATATTTATTAATAATTAAAAAATATTAATAAATATATTTTATTCGATGAAAATGAGAATTAGTAAAATAGCTAATTATGCATTGCTTAACATTACGCCCAGAATAACTGAAACGAACAATGATTAGAATTTCATAAAGTCTTTCAATTGCAATGTTTTAATAAAAAAATTATTTATTGTTGCAAAATCTTTATTTAATCACATTTTTGTGCACATCTTTTCTGTAATAGATAACCAGTACACATTGACGATCGTAACGATGCGCGAAACGAGAAACGCGACGCTTGTACACCATGTGACACATCGATCCATGAGCATCACTGGCCTCTAATAAGCTGGTTAACCATAAATCCCAAGTGCCTAAATATATTGCGCCAAGCCGGTGTATATAGGGCATGGCATTTCACTCTGCTTGGCGTTCTGCCCTGTTCGTTGTATCCTCGCTTACCGTGCACCAACAACAACTCAAACAATATCTATCAAGGAAGAACTTTCTTTGCGGTTACGAATTTTGTGAATGACGTTTATATTGCTGAAATTATATTATTACATGTTTCCGATTTATTTGCAAGAAATTTCAAAATTATATTGATAATAAAAAAAAATTATTAAAAATATGAAAAATTTATTAACATACATATACGTAGTATGCAAACATCGTGTTGAATTTATATATAAAATATCTCAATCATTAAAAATCAAATGGAATAATTAATCTATTTATTAAAATCAATGTTTATTCACTGTATTAATGTGGACATACGATCATCAATTAGATTCTTGCAAAGTTGATCAATATCCGCGCTGTACAATTTAGTAAATTTATTTTATAATTAAAATATCATCGTATTGTTCCGTCATTTATTTGATGCCAGTTACAATCATCCAGGAGAGAGTTAACATTAATTCCATAATTATATATTATTAAGCTCTTCATCTATGAATAGTGTTTATATCGCCATTAGAACTTTGCAGTAAAAGCAAATAAAATCTCAAATAAATGATGAAAGTAATATTTGTCGTTGTTAATTCAATGTTTATTAATTCATGATATTTTTATTTCATACCGATTCATGTACGATACTTTTATACCGATTTACAGAAATAATCGATTTAGGCAGTGTATTGTAATTACAGTGCATTTTTAACTTGTTCCTCGATGGAAAATGTGTTTAGATGCTGTAATTACAGAGTTGAGCGAATAATTCTACAGATCCGTTTATTATATTTTTCGGATACTTGTTTTGTATTAAATTAATGTATGCGCAAACAAAGAGAGAGAGAGAGAGAAAGAGACAGGTTCACACACATCTAAATTTTACACAGTACGCTTGTATTCGGCTTCTTATCAGGATCAAAGCTGATCGTTATCGAGTTAAATGAGGTTGCTGGATGAATAAACGGCAGAGCGTAAGAGGGATGACGGAACGAAGAGTGATGGAACTAGGGGTAGGATTTACATCGAGGAAAGCGCAACTCGGAACGACGAATTGCCAGAGAGCAACGTCAATACGTCGGTTTGGAACTTTGGAAGAAAAACGACGAGCGGGATGAATGGCAAGGACCGTCTTGGCGATATTACGAGGATCGACATCGCGAGATGGAGCGCTTACGAAAGGAAGAGACGTATTCACGCTTTCGTCAAATAGACGATTTAATCTTTAACGGCATAGGTACTGTAATCCCTAATAACTTTCGCGAAAGATATATCTCCGCATTATACCCTTCTCCTAGCCCCTTGAAATATATATAGTTTTCCTTCTTTTTTTCTCTTATTCTTATTTTCCTAAATGTTTCTCTAAATCTTTCCATGGACAATTGCGATCCGGAAATTTTATATCGTTGTAGAACACGTTCTACTCTAAATGCTTTCCGAAGAAAATTGCGTTCCGGTCATGTTACGACTTGATAAAATACTCTTTCTTATAATGTGTTTGTTAAACACAGTAAATTTTGAACGCAAATTAATTTTTTTCCAAGCGCAAACTTTTTCACAAAAAATTAATAAATAATTATTTAAATAATTAATAACTAATAATATAAATATTTTTTACAGAAATGTGAAAGAATCGTATGTAGAATTGTATAAAATTGTAGAAACCGTAATATGAGAAAGATATTTTGCAATTACTTCTCGATTGTTTTATTTTTCGTATAAAATAATATAAAAAATATATAACTTAGCATGCAACTATTAAAGCAAATAGTCAATTAACAACTTAACAAAATGGTATGTTATGCTTCAAAGAGTTAATAAAAATGCACACACACACACATAAATATATATATATCAAACACTTTTATTAACACCCGGATTGATGAATTAATTGTTCGTTTTTTCATATGAAAGAGTATAAAAGCTATTCTCTCCAAACATCGATATATATAATAAAAGCTGACGTTTTTTTGTCAATCTACATCACATCGGCGTTGCGCGTGTAAGTATTCTATAAAAAATTTGAAATATCTAGCTGTTTGGTGGAAGCTTCCGAATGAAGCATTGATATGTTTCACTTGAAATAGTAGTGGCGCCGGATAAATGCCATCATCTACATTATTTGGGCGCATCGAAACGTTCAGTCAATGCACCAATGACTGGTCGATTCGATGCGCAAAATCTTTCGCTAATTGTACGCAAATATAAAGAGAATGCACAAATGTATAGAGAATGCACACATTGTGTCTTCCTTGCTCAAATTATTAATAATTATGAATAATTATTATGAATAGTTAGTGCCAGAGTTAAATGGTTGAATAATTACTAAATCATGGTATCGAATCAAATTGTTAATCCATTAATATTCATCAAATCATTACATTAACAGTTGTTGATTAATTCATAATTATGTCATGATTATTTCAAGCATTGAATTATATCTTTAAGTAAAAATTTGAAATGTTTAGTGTATATATAAGTAAACAAAATTCCTGTCATTAATATTTATAAAAAATACTATAAAATATTTATAAAAAGTTTTTTTATGTGTTTTGATCTTTTTTCGACTTACTATAATAATTTTATGTGTGTTAAAAGCCACCGTTAAAAGCGACGCCAAAACACGAACGTTAATCCGCAATTTGCCGGAATAGCACATTTTCGGCTCGCCAATTCACAAAAAAGATCCGGCGCGACACATATCCCCGGCAACACTCACATAAGAAACGAAAATGCACTTCTGCAACCGCTTGCTGGCACAGGAATCACCGCCGTTCGATCTTTTTCATCCAACCTATCCATGTTGCATTGCGGACGCAACTCCCGTCTTTCCCTGCTTTCCGCTATCTTTTATCTGTCCCTACGAACGATTTGACAATACGTTCGAATAAGATGCCTAGTCGTGCATGAGAGAAGCATTCAGCACGTTCGACTAGTCGATAAGTTGATAGAGTAGAAACAGCAACAAATATTTCAATCGGGATACGCGCAATTACATTTTATTATCACCCTTCATTAAATTAAGGATATAACACAATAATTTTAATAAAAATAATATATTCTTTTCGCGTGGAAATACATACGTGCAATAACTCTAGAAAATATGCAAAGAGTATATATATATATATAGCTTCGAGATACGCTTGACATCGCAATCTGTCAATTCATTCAGAGACGCGATAACACCCATGTATTTTTCCTTCCAAAAGATGACATTTCGAGAAATACAATATAAATTTTATTTTTGAAATATAAAAGTATTATATTATATTATAGAGAGCCTAATCTATTAAGCACTGTATTCATTTTTCTGTCAAATAGCCGATATCCGGTAGTTAAGCATATTTATTTTAAATGCAAAATTGTCAACTACAATCGATACACGGTCGTACGTGAGCACTAGCAGTTGTCAACTTTGATCAACGATCATATCGAGAATAGATTACAAAATCGAAAATGAAATCGAAATGTTACTCACCGCAAAGTTGCTCGTACCACTCGGCATACGCGACACTATTTTTCTTTCAATCTCTATGAGTCACGTGCGCTCTGCGTCGTGACAGGAAAACACGCAAACACACATATACAAAACACGTTCATCACCGCCGCCGACCTCCGGCAGACTGACAACTCTGACTCTCGCACCCGGAGTTAATATCAACGCCGCTCCCTATTAAAGGCATGCGCAGCGCATACTCCAAAGGAGTTTCTCTCGCGATAACTATGTGTATAGTGTATGAGATGATTGCAAGCATCTCAAAATATTCAAATGTTAAAGTATGATCAATATACGCAATTTGCAAAAATGAGATTGTTCTTAAAACCGTATTAATAAGACGTATTTTGGGAAGCTATATTTGTAGTTCTCTCTCTCTCTCTCTTTCTCTCTCCCTCTGTCTCTGATATAATATGTATATAGAATTTATAAAAATTTAGGTAAAGGTTGGCAAAAACTTACACGGCACGAATCATTTTCAGAAAAGTGTCCGCCATATGACTCCCGTGATCACTTATCGTGACATGCAGAATTGTTTATAGAAATAAATTTGTATTATATTCAATAGATAAAATGGATAAAGTTCCGAATAGGTGAACCCTCCGATTTTTTTGAAACTACACTATTTTTTGTATTTTTTAACGCTGATTACAAATGTGATAATGAAAATTTGCGACAAGGTCATTTTCAAGGTCAAAACTCAAAAAAACTGAAAAAATATAACTTTTTAAATATTATTTCGATAAATATTGATGTAAGAAAAAAATGTGTCAAATAAAAGTTGTAGTTCTTGTAAAAATACATCATTTATGTTCTATACATTTTTTGCGTAAAACTGAAAGTTTTCGAGAAAATCGATGTTAAAGACTAAAAACGGCGGGTGAAGTTCCGAAAAACTAGACAAATAGGTTTGCGTGGAACCTCGCTCTGCGTGGAAAGTTGCAAACCCATGTGGAACCTCGCTTCGCGTGGAAAAGTGTATGCGTGGAAACAGTGGGTTCCGCCCCCCTGCGGGGGGCTCCACTACCGAAAAACTAGACAAATAGGTTTGCGTGGAACCTCGCTCTGCGTGGAAAGTTGCAAACCCATGTGGAACCTCGCTTCGCGTGGAAAAGTGTATGCGTGGAAACAGTGGGTTCCGCCCCCCTGCGGGGGGCTCCACTACCGAAAAACTAGACAAATAGGTTTGCGTGGAACCTCGCTCTGCGTGGAAAGTTGCAAACCCATGTGGAACCTCGCTTCGCGTGGAAAAGTGTATGCGTGGAAAAAAACGTAGAATGCTAAGAAAATTTTACAGCATCTTGATTGTAAAATTATATAATATATTTTTAATAAAGAAAAAAGAGTATATTTATTTATATATTCATATTATTTTTGATAGAAAAAGCGGAAGATCGCCCGTCATCTAATAGTTCCAGAAAATCTGCAACGTTTAGTATTGGAAATAAAACCCACAAGAGTAGAATTCCAACAACTCAGGTCGGACGAAATGCTATGCAAGTACGTTAATATTACAATACCTTGCCAAATAGTTGCTAAATAGTTTTATGCTTAATAAAGGAAGACTGTATACTCTGTTCTTAACGCTCCGTTTGGTCAAAACGCAACATATTGTAATCATTAATTAATATTAATTCATTATTAATATTCAATAATAATCAATTAATTAATATTAATTATTCATAATAATTCACAATGTTTTTTCAATATTTTATTTTCTATTTTACACTACGCGTCAAACTCATTATCTTTTTGCAGGGCGATTCACCAATGTACGAAGAGTCTTCTAGCGGTATTAGCTCCAATAATAACTCCGCTCTCACCTATTCGGAACTCCACCCGATAAAATATCAAAATACCTCGAAATATGGATTTATTCGCAATTTGCGGAATCTGTTGGCCGCTGTTTACAATCATTTTTCATTTGACGTACTTAAAAAGTTAAAATAAAAAGCTATAACATATTTTGAATGTAAAAACTATTACTACTTTTTAGTCTTTATCTAAAAAGACTCGATTTCTTTCAATAATTCTTCCAATACGTTTGATAGCACAATTTCACTACTATGCTCAAAACGTATAAAAATGTTAATTGCGTTGTATTACAAAACAAATCGTAAGCTCATGATATGACTAGAAAATACATCAACAGCTAGTCCATATTACTGCGATCCATAAAAAACCGAATTAAACTGACTAATTAACTTGACCTTGTTCAATGTTGAATTGCTTTATTTGTCCGAACACGACGAAACTCTTCGCGCGGTTTTTGGCAATTAATGCGGCGCCGTTTGTCCATCATAATCCATCTAGCTTTACGAGTGTGCGTTTTCCAGGAAATTCTAACGAATGCTTAATGAAAGCGCACGTGCGTCATGGAAAAGCACGTTTCCTTTATCGGAAGCGTTCTTTGCACGATCGCATTTTTTTGCAGCATTGAAAATATTAATTTACCTTTCTGTAAAAAATTATAGATATTTGCCAAACAAAGTCAGAAAAAATGCTGCTTTTTCACTTGCTGAGATTTTTAAATTACTTCATGAAAAGAAGAAAGTTTCTTTGGATATCTTTGGCTGTTTACTGTATCGGAATGTTTTTTTAAAATTCTATTCATATAAAAAAACTCGAGTAAATCTTTTTACATTTGTTTTCTCAGATTAAAAATTATTTATCTAAAATAAGTTTTCTGTAAAAAATTCTTGCTACAACCTGTAAATAAATAAGTAATTATTTATTGACAATTACTTTTCTGTAAAAAGTTCTTGCTACAATCTTTTGGAACGATTTGATCTCGTATTCTCTCTACGCACTGAATCAAATCACAATTAATATTTAAGGATTAATTCTAAAATATTATGCATAAGTTCCAAACGCTATTCTTAAACCTGACGCACATGTGTTAAAGAATTCTCAGTCAATTTTAGTATAGCGTCGTATTTTAACTTTGAAAATGTCATCGTGCAAACATTCAACGTAAAATTGATTCTTAATTACAAAACAGCTTAAAATCGTCGACTGTCTCACGAATCAACGTCAGCGCTCGTTCGTCTCGCTTTATCTAATCAACAAAACTACGAAATTGAAACTCTCCTCGTCCTTTTGAAAGTTTTGCAGATCTATTCGTAAATCCAGCTGTCACCAATCGTGCCACATTATCGTGAAAAAGAGCCGAAAAATGCTGAGCGAAGCGGTCATGATAAATCCTTCAGGTTATATGTCGCATCTAGACTCTAGGCTAATAATATAGAAATTCCAAAAATAGCGATTTTTTATATTTTTACTATTGTATGAATTTTTACTATTGCAGAAATATTAGTGCAAATTTAAATTTATTTTTTTGTTTGTATATATATTGATATGCTCTTCATAACTATTATGAAGAAAGTTTAGAAAAATTTTGAATATAATTGATGTTATGTTATCTTTACGTCTTTATTTTTATTATCTTCTGGAATAATACGAAAATTATTCTAACTGAGCAATCTATTAAAATAATAAATATTAATATCAATTATACAAATAATCTCATTTTATAACGTTCTAGAGTTTAGAAATAATTATATTATTGCATAAAGGTTAGATCAAAGAAATAATGCTGACTGTCATAGACTCATTCAGAGTGCATTATATTGCTTTATATTGCATTTATTACAGATACATTCTCTTTTTAAGTATATATAATTATATATAATATTTAAGTATATAATATATGTATATATATATATATATATTTATACTGCTTATATTTAAAAGGACGAGGTAATATTTTCACAATTTAATGTGAAGAAAGAAAAAGAGAGCAAAAACGTAGAATGCTAAGAA